CCCCCAAAACCCCAAAACCCCATCAAGTAATTAAGAAAATTAATAAACATTGATAATTTTAATGTATAAAAATAAAATCCAATTTAATTTTCTAAATTATTTTAAATAATCAGTAATAGTGTTATCTGTAATAATCCCCTGAAAGCTATTTCTGTAAATCACTATAAGAAATCTAATTCCTATTTTTACCAATAGCACTCTAAAATCTCTAATTTAATGATTAAGACAATTCGGTGCTTTAACTTATTAAGCTTGCATCATCTATTAACTTATTAGCTTTAAGTCTTATTTAAGGTGATTTAAAAAGCTTTGCTTTCTAAAGCTACTCCTTATAGTACCTATCTCTTTCATCAAGATTTTAACTTATATTTTTTGAAAGAGAGTTATCATAGTATTAACTAAATGTGCTTGAATTCCTTTCTATGTTCTAATATTGATCTGAAACTTAGATAAATGAGGATGGAGCCTTAAAGCTATGATTAGCATTATATTCTCTATCATATGGTTCTAATTTACTTGAGCTAAAATACTCTATATTTTCAAAATTTCGTCCTTAAGTACTAGCATTATCGTTTCCAAACTCACTCTAAACTTACTCATCTTTAGTTGGACTAGCATTCTTATATATCTAATTCTCTTATTGCTATAACTTTCTATGTATTGTAGCTAATTTTATCTACATGTCCAAGTTCTTACTTTTAATACCATCGTATTCCTGTGATATATTATTTAGCTTTCTTTATAACTTTTTCTTTTCTACTCTTTATTGAAGAGTAATCTTGGATAAATTCTCAAATTGGCCTTTAAACTCTGATTCATACTTTCTAATATCCTGCTTGATATCATTTACTGAGGAAATGATGTCTTGTTTCAAGGAGATTAATTTATCAAGTTCAATTTTATAAGCATCATCTTCTTTTTATTTTTAAACTGCTTAACTTTGCTATTAATCTCTAAGATTTTATTTATGCTTCATTGTTTAATCTTAATATCTTCATTAGTTTAAATCCATTAATTTCTGTTTTTATCTGAGATAGTTTTGATTTTTAGATTATGGCAGAGGCGGCTTTGATAGTTAGTTTTATGAAGAATTTATTTCTTACTAGTTATTATTTTGATTGGTCTCTATTTAATTCACATTAATTTCTCTATTCTAAAAGGACAGAGATTATTCTGATTTCTAAAAAGGTAAGTTATCATAACTCTAAGGAGTAGTTGTTTGAATTTAAGCATTCATTTTACTTTCCTGTCCTTAAACAGACTACGAAGCAAATGAAATAGGCGATGAATATTATTATATGATTGGCACAGGTACACTAATGTATATTGGCTAAATCACTAGTCGATCTTGCACTTGAAATGTACTAGTATAATTAGATTGTTACAATTAATTAGTAGGCAGGATTTTTGTATTATTAGTATTAGTGCTTGCGTTCATAAAATTCTATCCATTAATTTAAGATGAATGAATATTCCTTCCATTATTATAATATTAAATTGAGTTATTGTTTTAAGAAATAGGTCGATTAGTGCTTTGATGTAAGGCAGAATTTACACGGTTGACATGTTCATATTCTCTTGCATGTGATTCCTCAATTAACTAAGAGAATGATTTTAGCTATTCTCTTCTATCATAATCAAATTATCTTTCTTTTCGAATCGGTTTAGCTTAGAAGTCTAGACTTGATTCTTGAAGCGGTTAAAGGAATTAGGAAGAGGAATTCAAGTTATTATTTATCTAGTAATTATCTAATTGTTAGTTAGTGAATTTATCTGGTGTGTAAGAAGAGTAACTATTGTTGTAAATAATATTCTGTTTATGTGGACTTCTTATAGCTTTCCCTGATTTTCACATTAATTTACCCTCAGGCCTTCCAAGAATAGGATTTATCAGAAGAGTAGATGGTTTGATATTCAAAAATTCATTCTCCTCTGATTCTTTTCATTTCTATGAATAATAAATGTTAAATTTATGTATTAATATATTAACTCCCATCATACCTTGTATTTTGTTAAAAGAGGACTATATTTCTTTTCGATTTGACTGTTTTGACTAAATTTCATAACTTTTAAGACAATCGTTATTTTTACTTTGATAATGGTGGTAGAAATTTTGATGTGCTTAGAGAAGGACTCATATTATTTATAAGGTTATTCATTTACCTTTAATTTCTTATTAAAAATCTATCATCTTTTTTCAATTTTAGATATTATGATGCACGGGGTTTTGGGGTTTTGGGGTTTTGGGG